CACACACACACACACACACACACACACACACACACACACACACACACTGAAGAGTTAGTGAGAAACATCTCTCCTATCATTTTCCAGAAGGAACGTAACTTCTATGATTATAGAAATAACATTCCATGATGAAATTTGAATTTAACTTTATCTCAGGACCAAATGCTCAGTTCTCCCTTTCCCTCTATAATGGCTTAATTCAACATTAGCAGGAAAGATAAGATGTAGTCCACTTTAATTGTCCACTTCAGACCTTTTGTTTTTGAAAAAAGGAAAATTTCCTAGGGAGACTGATTGGGTTTAAAAATGTTTCCTTTCCTGAGTCTAACCTCATTTAGTGTTGGATTACCACCCTAAAGGCATTACTGGCTCCCAAGACAGAGGGCTGCAAAAGTGGGAAGGAGGCGTGGTAAGTGTCTCTGCTCTCAGACCTGCCTGAATGCCATTTTCTGGTCATTAAGGAGTTTCTATTTCAGAGCTCTGCCCTTGGAGGCAGAGCTGGGACAATGAAGGAAGGAGCAAGTCTCGGCTCCTCTGAGTTAGCTGATAGGCCCAAGACCCAAAGGGCACTCGATCTAAACCAGATTACTGGCTACAAAGAGGCCTCAGGCCACTGCTAAATGACACTAGATTAGCTACTGAAAGGAGATCCAGCCATTAAACTTACTTGCAATCAAGGATGTTGGGCCAACTGCATCTTTTAGCGACATAAATATTTACATGCTTTGTCTTAAGAAACTGGGTAAAATTTCAAAGTCCAATTTAATTTGTGAACAATTTGCCTCTAATGCAGGAAACATAAGCTGCAGCCTTTGTGATTCATTAAGGCAAAGTCCTTCCCTCTACTATGGATGGTACAGAAAATGACAATCTCTAGAAAACTTCCCAATAGAACAATGACATCTAGTGAAGTTAACCAGACTCCCACACACTGTCAAGCAAGCTTCCTCACTAAGAAGTAGATGGGGAGACTCAATACTTAAAAAAAAAGGAGGGGGGGAGGAGGGATACTTTCAAGACTTGATCTTCTGACTTAATGAATTCTGACCTTGACATTCAAAACTCACTGAAATATGGATCTCATTTTCATTATTCTTCCCTACATAGACTGTTCATGGCAGAAATAATCTTTTTTGTTTCTTGCACTTTTTTCTTTTCGGTTTTTCGAGACAGGGTGTGCAGCACTACAGCTGGCTTAAACGCTTGCCAGTTTTGATAGCCCATTCAAACTCTTTCCTCCTGGAGACCCTCCCTGGCCCTACATTTGCCAATGCTGCCCTGACCACTCCATTCTCCACTTCATATTAATCTTTTCTTAATTTTATTTAATGTTGACCAAAATGAGGTAGCAAGCTCCAGAGAGCTTTACACTCATCTCCATATCCCCCAAAATTTCACACTTTAGTGATCTGCATATGATAAACACTTAAAATACTTATTAAATAAAACCATTTTCTCTTCCCCACAATGCTGATACTTGCACACATCAAAATTTTGAAGAAAACGAGTAAATCAACAATTAGCTCATTACAGGAACAGGTGAAATAAACTGAAGTTTATATTTTAGAATTCAACCTATTTGGAGCCTGGGGAAGATACCTCAGTTCCCAGCAAGCATGAGGACCTAAGTTTGAACTCCAAGATCCACATAAAAACAAACAAAAATTCTTGGGTTTAGTGGCAACACTTGAACTCTGACTGTTGGGAAGGTAGGAGACGTGCAGATCCCTGTGGCTCGCTGGCTGGCCAGCTTAACCTATTCAACAAACTCCAGGCTGGCAGAAACCTGACTCACCGGCCAGGTAGAGGACTCCCAAGAGCAACAACTGAAGTTGATCTATGGCTTTTATATGCATGCATGCACACCTGCACACTCATATGTGTGTGTGTATGTGTGTGTGTGTGTGTGTGTGTGTGTGTGTGTGTGTGTGTGTGTGTACACATATACATACATACACACATACACACATACAAAGACCTTAACTTAGTTCCAATTCCATAACCAAAACTGGGTAGAGTGAAAGGTGGCAAGTCTCTGCCCTTGTGCCTGCTGGATTCTTAGTTGCTTGGGAATATACACAAGAAATAGTCACTTAGGGGGCTGGAGAGATGGCTCAGAGGTTAAGAGCACTGCTTGCTCTTCCAGAGGACCTGAGTTCAATTCCCAGCAACCACATGGTGGCTCATAACCATCTGTAGTGAAATCTAGTGCTCTCTTCTGTCGTTCAGGTGTACACGCAGGCAAAACATTGTATACATGATAAAGTAAGTAAGTCTGGAAAAAAAAAAAAAAAGAGTCACTTAAAAAGAAGCCAAGTGGAAGATGGGTGCGGTGGCACACGCCTGTAATCCCTGCACTCTGGGAAGCAGAGGCAGGTGATCCCTGTGAGTTCAAGACCAGCCTGATCTACAAAATGAGTCCAGCTCAGCTAAGAATACACAGAGAAACCCTGTCTCGGAAAAAAAAAAAAGGAAGGAAGGAAGGGAGGGAGGGAGGGAGGGAGGAAGGGAGGGAGGGAGGGAGGGAGGGAGGGAGGGAGGCCGCGTGTGGTGTCCTGGTTCTAGGCAAGTTGTGAAGACTTTCCCATTCCAAGGGGTAGCAGGAAGTGGAGCACTACTATCAGCAGGGCATGGCGGCACCATCACCATCATCCTCAGCTACAAAGAGAGTCCAAACCCAGCCTGGGCAACACAGACCTTGTCTCAAAAACAACAAACAATACAAACAAACAGGTTGGCATGATGGCACACATTTTTAATCCCAATACTTGGGAGGCATAGGCAGGCAACTCTGTGAGTCCAAGGCCAGCCTGTCTACATATAGAGTTCAAGGCTAGCCTGCTCTACATAGTTGTGACCCTGCCTCAAAAACAAAACAGAGGCTGGAGCAGTTATGAGCACATACTGCCCTTCCTGAAGACCCCAGTATGATTCCTGGCACTCATGTCAAGGGCCTCCCAACCACTTGTAACTCTGTAGGAACCCCCAATACACAGACATAAGTAAAAGTAAGTATAAAAACCTAAGCAACAAAAATGACTACATTAGGCTAATTTATCAAAGTTCATAGTAGTTAAGGCATGAAAGTTCAAAAGGCTATGCTTTTTATGTTGCAGAGGACGCAGCCATAGTATTAAGAAACTAAATTAGTGAATTAAACAATTGGGTCATACTGTGTAAGTCAACAATGAACAAAGCAGAGTAATACCTATCCCTGGTCAAGCTATTTTTGGAATCAACATTTGGTAAGGACTAGGGTAAGTTCACATGTTCTACAAGAGACACAGACTAGAAGGACTAGAGAACCCACCTCATGTCAATCTCATTAAAAGTCGTCAGCATTGCACATGTATTCTGGGCTTCCTTCAGCCGCTGAGCAATGCGCTGCCGCATCCTGTTCATTTTTTCCTGAAAGGAAAGAGGAACAAGAGTTGACAATCTGACTTCAGTCCCCAGTCGGTGAGAGAACTAAATCTGCTATGGATGGATGGCAAGCCCTGTTTCGTTTTTGAGACAGGGTCTTGCTATGTAGTCCTGGTTAGGCTAGAACTCTCATCTGTGTAGACCACGGTGGCTAGAGAGATCTTCCTGCCTCTGCCTCTCAAGTACTGGGCTTAACGGCATGTGCTACATGCTGGGCCCAATCATTACAGTTAAAGCTACAAGCTTCCTCTTTCCTGAGTAGCCTCAGAATAAAAACACAGACTCAGAGACCAAAGTATTCACTCAGAAATGCCTAAGATTTGACCAAGAACAGAGGGGCTCAGGAAATAATGTGATTTAAAAACCAAAACCAATTTACAAAAGAAGACTGTGGCATAGAGCCAGCCAGTTTAAGAGGCAGTACAGACAGGGCAACTTCTGCTGATAAAGACTTGCGTGAGAACAGCCACTTGGGGAACGGAAACTCAAAAACAAGCTTTTGAGGCTAAGGTATTTTTAGGAAGTATTCTCAGACAAAGAACCCACACTTGTGGCCATGCTTCCTTGGGGTTTTGTGTCTGCTCTGACAGCTTATTGTTACAATGCAACAATCTGGCCCCACTGGCCCCCAGCCACAGTGAAGTGTTACAGAAGTCCTGAAGCAGGGCTCTCAGCAGACTAGTCTGTGAAGTCACTGTGGGAAGGAAGAAATGTGCTACTATTCTCAATTTGAAGCACTGCAGCGGCAGCGTAATATAGTAGAAAATCTGCCAGACAAGTGTTCAGACACTGTGTTCTTGTTATACTATCTGACGGTTATGAGACCATGAACAAGTAACTTTCTAATCCCTCAAGGCAAAAATCCCTCTCTGTTACTCTCCATAGAGACCCTCCACCATTTTCCAAGAAGTCATCAGAGGCTTACCCGATGCTCTGAACGCAGACCTTTGGCAGTTCCTGGTTCGGCCAATGGAGGGGCAGCAGTGGGTTTTATTGCAGACACTGAAAATGAAGAGCAGGTACAGCTACATCTGATGTGGGAAGCAATACTTTCACAGCATATTAACACTTTATCCTCAAAACACTGAGATTTATCAGCATCACTGCAAACTCACAGATGAACAATATTCTCAGAGAAGTAATGAAACTAATGTCATATAATCACATAAATAAAAAGCTGGTTTGCAAATCCAGTTCTTAAGCATCTAGAGGACTCTCTACAAAGCAGCCAACCTGGTGTGGTAAGAGCCATGCCATCAAGACTGCACCTGTGAGGGGACATGGCATCAGACAAAGTGACCTCTGCCACAGGGACAAGGGGGGGTCAGAGACTGTGAGGATTAACCTTGACTGTCAATTTGGCAGGATTCAGAACCTCTGACGGTGTTTGCAGAGAAAACTGAATGTCTCACTCTCAGAGTGGGAAGGCTCGCCCTGAATGTGGGTAGCACTGTAGAGTGGTCTGGGGTCTGCGAGTGAAGTCAGAAAAGAAAGTAAGTGAATGGAGCAACAGTGTTAATCTTTCCTGCTTGCCAGGCTGCAAAGCTATGACCATCTGCCTCACACTCTGACACCATACCTTTCCTGACATGAAGGAGTCTCATCCTCAAAACGAGCCAAAATAAATGTTTAAGTTGCCTTTCGTGAGGCGTTTTGTTATGACAACGAGGCAATTAACTTATACAGGATCTTACCTGGTTTGCTAGAAGAAAGTTGTGAGGGTGAGGGCGCTGGTGGCATTTGAGTGGGCACAGGTGCTGCAGGGGGAGGAGGGGCTCCCGGTGCTTCAGGCTTTGCTTTGGGGGCTGCAGCAGGAGCTTCAGCTGGTTTGGCCTTAGCAGGAGCAGCTGGATGAAAAAAAGAGAGAGATGGCACCACTTAGGACACAAAGCAACTGAACTGCAGCTATGACAGAGGATTTAGAGACAAAGGTCTATTTCCAATCCTTTAACAAATGTCTCCTAGGTATTTACAATGGACAAAGCATCAAGTGATAGATACTGACAAAAGCCACTATTCTCAGGACTCCCTAAATGTCCTACTAGCTCATCTCAGCTGCTTTCCTGATTTCACAAATATTAACATCTACTGGCTTTCAAATTCAGCAAGTACTGTCACCCACTAAGCCCAAGGAAATGAAAAGGTCAAGCAGTGATTCCCATCTTTCCTAACACTGTGACCCTTTAACATGTGTTAAAGGGTGTTCCTCATGTTGTGGTGACCCCCAACCATAAAATTATCTTGTTGCTACTTCATAACTGTAATTCTGCCACTGTCAAGAATCATAATGCAAATCTCTGATATGCAGATATTCTCAGACGACCCCTGTGAAAGGGTTATTTCCCCCAAAACACCACCACCCACAGCTAGAGAACCAGTTTTAATAAAAATAACCGAAGTAGAAATGTCACGATGCAGATATAACTGCAGCATACTTCTATAACTGCAATCATCTTCTATTTTAACATAACCTACACAAGAAATACTCCCTCCACAACTTCTCTGCATAGCCCTGTCCTAGAAGTCTCTGTAGAGCAGGCAAGCCTCAAACTCAGAAGTCCACCTGCTTCTCCCTCTCAAGTAAAAGAATGAGCCAACAAACAAACAAACAAACAAATAAACAAATAAATAAAAGGTGTGAGCCACCATTGTTAGGCAGAAGGAATACTCTTAACCATTAAAAATTTAAAAAAAAATTAAAGACTTATTTTTATAATTTCATCTGTGTTTATGTGTGTATCTGCATGAGGGTATGTGCATATGAGCGCAGATGGCCAGACAGGCTCACGGGAACCCCAGGAGCTGAAATTTCAGACAATCCTGAGTTGCCATGTTAGGTCCTGGGAAGTGAACTTGGGCCCTCTGCAGGAGCAGTACATACTCTGAATCGCTGAGCCATCTCTCCAGCCTCTCAACTCTTTAATCTTAAATAAGCATTTGATAAATATTTTACTTTGGGGCCTGGAGAGATGGCTCAAGGGTTCACAGTACATATTGCTCTTGCAGAAGACCTGAGTTCAGTTCCCAGCATGCACTCAAGACAGGTCATAACTGCCTATAACTCTAGCTCCAAGGGAGTCAATGCCTATTCCTGGACTCTAAGAGTACCTGCATTCATTCCTGCACATTCATTCATATTCTCCCATTCCATCTCCTCTCTTTCATACACAAACAAAAAATAAAGATTAATAAACAGTTCAAAGAATTTCATCCAGGATGACTCTTCTTAAGTCTCTTAAGAGAAAACAATGAGATGTTCAAGTAGTAAATCCACAACTTTAATATGGGCACTATATCCAGTTTTATATTTTAAAGAATTTTATTTTAAAGGTAAATACTGAAGAGCCAGGCAGTGATGGCACACGCCTTTAATCACAGAACTCGGAAGGCAGAAGAAGGCAGGTCTCTGTGAGTTCGAGGCCAGCCTGGTCTACAGACTGAGTTCAAAGGCAGCCAGGGCTACACAAAGAAACCCATCTCAAACAAACAAATACCAACAACAACAAAAGGAAGCAAAAAAAAAAAAAAAAAAAGATAAAACCAGGTACTGTGGCACAAACCTTTAAACCCAGTACTTGGGAAGCAGAGACAGGCAGATCTCTGTGAAATTGAGGGCAGCCTCTACATATGGAGTTGTGGGCCAGCCAAGGCTACAGACCTTCTCACAAAAAAAAAAAAAAGACAGTTCATACTGGAGAGAGGGATCATAAAGCATTTGCTCTGTTGGCATGAGGATCTGAGTTCACTCCCCCAGAACCAACATAAAGCTGGGTGCAGTGGAGACAATCCCTGTCCTCCCATGGCAGGAAGGTAGGTAGATGGAGGCAGGATAAATCTTGGAATCTCTTGAGCCATGGTCTATGCAGCAGAGAACTAAGAAACTTTGTCTCAAACAAGTTGGAAAGTGAGGACCAACACCCAAGATTGTCCTCTGACCCTATGCCCCAACCCCACATACCTGCACACACACGAGCATACACATTCCAAGAGGCAGATATTTGGGGGGAGAGGGTGGACTTAAAGTGACAGATCCACTCTTCCTAGCTACTTTAGACTTTTTATCTCACTTTGAACTTTATTTTGGCCTGACCAACCTCAATGGTCCAATCTATCATCTTTTTACTTGACTACTTTAACAGTTAAATGACATAAATACAAAAAAATCTTCATGTGAAAGTCAGAAAAGCAGATTTTCTAATCTCTAGCAGTGATTATAAGGTTCAGTACAGACATATACACACCTTTCTTCGGCATTTCTTCCAAAGAGATATGCCAACCTTTCCTACGATGTCACATGTGGAAAGAAACTACACAGAGGAAGGTGATTCAGTAGTAAAAACACCTAGCACCAAACCTGACAGCCCGAGTTTGATCCCTAGTACCTACATGGCAGGAAGAAAAAACTGACTCAAGCTATTTGCCGACATCCACACACATGCCTTTCCACACTACATACATACACACACACACGCACGTGCGCACACACACAAGATATAAAGAAAGAAAACTACACGGAATTGACTACAACAGACACCCTAAGACTGTAATTCTTACTTCTAAACAGTGGCTCTGAGGCCTGACTATATGTCAGAATCACTTAGGGGAACACTTCAAAATGGTAACAGCAATCCAACTATTATATCGAGGTAATAAATCAGAATCTCAAGATCTCAAAGCCTTTTCATCTGTAATTTTTAAGGCTCCAAGTGACTCAGGTCAGTGTGGGGAAAATGGCCATCTTCTGACTCTTGACTTCTCTTAGTTCTTTAAGGAAAGGTTCAGTCACCGGGAACAGTGGCACATGACTGGGGAAGCAGAGGCAGGCAGATCTCTGTGTTTGAGGCCAGCCTGGTCTACAAAGCACGTCCAGGACAGCCAAGGCTACACAGAGAAACCCTGTCTTGGAAACAAAACAAACAGACCAAAACAACACCAAAAAAGGTTCAATCTGAGAAATATGAAAAGTATTATGGGGCTATTTTTTTTAAAAATTGCCCTTGTTGTTTTAGAACTTGACAATTAAAGTTCACCATGTATTAGCAGGATCCCTCTTATCCCTCAACTAGGTAACTAGAATGCTGGTCTGTGGCTTTGTGAGTTGCTAGGACAGCGTGCTCAGCCCCAACCCTACGGGAAAACACTGGAAACCTTGACCACCAGGAGAGCTTCTTTACCACCAGTTTTCCTGAGTGTGAACAGAGGAGTTCCTCCTTCAACTTTGCCCCCATCAGGTACCAAAAGAGCTTCAATGATGCCATTTGCTGGTGATGGAACCTGCACAGAAGTCTGGAAAAAAAAGAGAGATGAAGACAGAGTCCACACCTGTATCAGCACCTACAGGATGAGTCATAAGAGCTGCAATGTGGTTACATCTATGTCATGGTACATATGGTGTTACATCTCTGCACACAGAAATACCTAAGGCCACATTTTCAGCCAGATAAAGATCAATCACTGCTACTGTGAGGATTCACCTTCTGTCCTTTCTTAGAAACAGTAAAACAAACTTTAGTCACTCTAAGTGACACAAGGAAAAAACACTGACAGCAGCCAGGATCCACAAAGAAAACAAAAATAGCTACTAGATTAAAGTTACTAAAGTACATAAAATTAGATTAGAATAACCAAAATTAAACTGTAATAACTTTTCTCATGCTGCCCTCAAGAACTTTTACAACTGAGGTTAGAGCTAGTCCACCCTTCTCTCTGAACAGTAAGTCCCTGTATCTCTTTCCTTAGACTGACATGAAGGACAAGGCACTGATCTAGGATAGACCCACCTTGTCTGTCTCAATCTCACACACCACTTCATCTTCTGCAACTGCATCTCCAACAGCTGAAAGACAGTCCAAGAGTGCCTGTTAGCTGCGAGCCTCTGGTCCCCTGCTGGCCTGCTGTGTTAGAGAGCACTTTCCTACAGGACTGGAAGGAAGCAGGTAAACAGGGAAAAGGAAAGGTGGAGGGGGCCCAGGTGCCACTGGCGGGGTGCATGGAGGACAGACCTTAGTTTTTGCTTAAGCTGGAAGAGATGAAGGCTCACCTTTCTCCCACCTGACATCTCCCTCTGTGACGGACTCTGCAAACGCTGGGGTTTGGACCGTAATCACATCATTCTCTAGGGAAAAAGAAAACAGGAAAATCACAAGTGCTCATTTTGTCTTTTTAATGGTTTTCTTTAATAAACTCGACCTGTTGTTGTTCTTTCTAGTAAAATTCCATTCACAAGAAATCAGGTACTTACTGCACACAGCCGTGGTTTGGAAGAAGCGAACACTGAAGACATTACCGTTGTTAATGCTACAAAAGAAACATGTTAACTCTTTTAGAATGTGAACCACAATACTTCAATCTAGTCCAGGTACCATGGGTTACCTCTTTAAACTGGCAAATCCTGAGTTTCATACAGGGGAACTCGTCAAAGCACACATGGCAGGCCAGACCCAAAGAGAGTCTGACTCAGCAGGTAGGACCCCAACACCTGATAGCCTAGGCACCTTAGACAGTGCCCCATACTATAATGAAATGTCACTTCTCTAAAGAGGAAGACATACTGGTTCTATTAAGTAAAAAGAATTGTGGTCCTTTGCAAACTAACCAAAAATGATTTCTCTTCCCAATTGGAGTTCTTTAACCAAATCTAAGATACATGGCATATCCTCAGCAATGCACACTGATATGCCCAAAACAAAGGTGTTTCTATCCTCAGGATTAGATTTGGATCAGATAAGGCAGCAGATGATAGTAAATTCAGAAGCAAAAAGCAAACAAAGCTTTAAGCAACCACCAACTCCCCCACAAAGAATAAAAGAAAAAAGAAAAAGAAAAAAGCCCCCCTACATGCTATTTCCTATTACCATCCCCTTGCAAAGAGGCAGCACATCTGCCTTCCTACACTCACTGAGAGGAACTTCAAAACCAGGCCATTTAAACACGCTGGAAAGCTCTATCTATCAGCCTGTGTGCACACTCATGAACAGTTACTTCTGAAGAACGAAAGATATAGACACCCACAGTTACTAAGGCTATCTGTCACTCAATGGTTTGGGAGAGTAAGTTACAGTGATGGAAAATTCACTTTTTACACATCTAGGGAATATTATCAACAGCTTTCTTTTGGGGGGAGTTTGGGGGGGGGTGGAATGTTGAGACAGGGAATCACCCTGTAGCCCTGGTACAGAAACTCTTTCTGTAGAACAGGCTGGCCTCAAACTCATCTGCTTGCCTCTGTTTCCTCAATGCTGGGATTAAAGGCATGCACCACTACACCTCAATATGTATCTTTACAATACATAAGTAGACTTAATTGCTTTCTGGCCTTTTTACTTTTATGCAAGGATAACTTTATAACGTAAAACACAGAACACCGAGTGCTGCGTATAAACTTTGTACACATACATAACCACCAACAAAAGCACACGTTCACGGGCAAAGACTAACAGCTGACGTGGAAATGCAGGGCTGCTCTGGCAGACACCTAGAAAGCTGGTGCACTGGCCACCTCTGGGAAGAGGTGTTTGATGTGCTAGAGGACAAGCATTTAAAACAAAACAAAACAAAAAAAACAAAAAACAAAAAAAAACAAAAACTTGTTGCCAGGCGGTGGTGAGTTAACCCCAACACTCAGGAGGCAGAGGCAGGTTTGAGGCCAGTCTAGTTCCAGGACAGCCAGCACTACACAGAGAGACCCTGTTTTGGAAAACAAACAAACAAACAAACAAACACCCAAAAAACCAAATTGTTAATAGCCATTTTTTGCCTTTTGAAATATGTAATTACCTGTTAAATAAAAACAAAGTAAAAAAGTTTTACATTAAAAGATCTTTTAAGCAGGTGAGGTGGCTCAGTGGATAAGGTTCTGTCAAGCCTAATGACCTGAGTTCAATTCCCCCGGGACCTACATAGTGGAAAACAGAGAACCGACTTTCTGCAAGTTGTTCTCTGAACTCCATATATGTGCCATGGAGTGCTCCCATCACCACTACCACACAAACTAATGAAATAAGGAGGTTTTGGGGTAAAGATCTTTTAAACAAAAAAGACATGCATAGAAAAAGTGACAGTATGCTACACACAGACCGTATGACTAGCCGGACACAACTCAGGGTGACTCAGCTGGAGTTCAGATTTTCCACAATGAATTTCAAATAGTTATGTGTTATATTTATTACATAAAGGCATGATTACTCCTGATTGCTCCAATTTTCATTTAAACTGCACAAGTAATGTTCTGACTCTGGAAATCACTTTCTTAAATTATGAAAGCATTACATGTTCACATATGTGTATGCTAAATAATAAGCAGAATATTAGAAACAGGAAAAATAATTTTATAATGGAATTACACATCAAAAACGGCATATTCTGTAAATCTTTTATTTCCTACTTTTCATAGTGGGAACATGCTAAAACACTAGAGCTTTGAATATGTAATTTTTTTCAGTATAGATTCCTAGAAATGCAATTTTCAAAACCAGGCATGGTGGTGCATGCTTTTAAGCCCAGTACTCGGAGGATCTGAGTTTGAGGCCAGCCTAGTCTACAGAGCTAGTTCTAGATAGCAAGGACTATACAGAGAAATCCTGTCTTGAAAAAAAAACCAACAACCAACCAAAATTTTAGGAGTATATTCCTAATAGCACTTCTAATAGGAATGAAAGCTAAACATACTGCGATACATAACAAGCAAGCTCTCCTGCCAGCACTTCAGCCTGTGAACAAGGCTGCCCCACAGTTCTTGAAGAGGGTACTCGAAAGTAGCCTCTCAGCACGCAACAATACTTGGAATGCAAAGTAACTCAAAACAACATTCACAAGTACAAGTTAATCTGGACCACACGTGGATGGCCCTCCTCCAAACTCTCCATTATGCAACAACAGCATTCCTACCAAACCAGTCAAAAGTCCTAGGGTAAACTGGTCTTTTGCTTTTGCTGATTTTAAACCGAGTAACTATGTTACCAAGAAAATGCTCTTAATTTCAAAACAAATGTGACCTCAAACCCCTCAGCTGCACTTGTATCCAACTAGAATATTAGGTACTCTTCCATACCCATTCTCATTTAAAGCAGTTCCAAGTTAACTCTCATTATATTTTAACTACCTGAGACGATCCAGAATACTTTTTGTCCAAACACTGAACTGATGACAAAGACAGATTATAATAAAAATGACAATGGCCATCAAGGTTGGTCTATGGATTCATTCTAATATCCTCAATTTCTATGACTGGAGGTCTGTGAACGTGTCCAATGTTCAAATTTAAAATCTGTGCCTAAGCAAATTAGCCACGGCCACATATCTGTATTAGCCGGTGATACTTACACCATCTTCCTGCTGTCAGGGTAACTTGGTCCCTGACATAAGGAGAGCCCTGAAAAAAAACAAAACAACCCTTAGTCAGCAGCTCGTATTTTACACAGTATAGTAAATGGAACTATTCACCCCGTGGCCCCCGACAGAGGATCAACTGCAGGCAATGACATAATCTTTATCATCTGGAACCCTGGTCTCAAGTTTGCTACCTATTGGCAGAGAACAAGTATGGGCATCAAGAGCAGACATGCACTTGACAGGAAAGAGATCTGATGCCCCGAGAGTGGTGCAATCTACCTGCTTAAAAAGTTGCTAATGTGTATTAGCCTACATCTGCATAATAAAACATCTCTATTCCCCAAGTTATCAAATATAATTGGAACTCGAAAATAAGACACATGGTAGCTTAGCTTGTGGCTTCATATAACCTAGCATGAGGCAGGGTAGCTGATCTGGGTTTAAGTGCAGGAGGCTAGAAAGTTCTTTAGTTTGTCCTATAACTGAGCAAAATCATCTCTCTCCCTGTCCGCTTACCTTCCTCTGAAGTCTTGCACCTGATCACTCTTAGCAAAAGATGAATCCCTGTGAGTTTCAATTCAAAAAGTGTAAGTTGTCCTTTCTTTTTTCTGGACCCTGGCCAAAGGCCCAAGAATGCTCTCCTTGACACTGTGAGATTCTGTTTCTGTCAAGACTCTCTGCCCTTTCTACAGCTGCCGGCCCACAACTTCCACTGCTGAACATGTGTGCTTTCTTGGACCCTAACTCAAAAGACCTGGCTATCTCCCTTCTCCTGGCAGCTGCTAGACTCATAGTTTGCCTGACCTGCTGTTTTTCTCTCAAGTTCTAATAAAATGATCCTTGGGTTTAAGAGAAAGCAAAAAAAAGAGGGAGAGGGAAGGAGAAGACCTTCCTCCTTCTTGTCGTAAATTCATCACAACTGTTCTTATCATAAATTCATTTCCCCAATATCTACCAACCACAGCTGCTTCTTCTGAGTATATTATTGCTTATGTTTCCTTTGTTGTTATTTGTGTCTACTAACAACTATACTATGTGTACAGACACCAACTGAGCACGGCAGGTCCTTATGTATACTCCTCATGAACGGTCCCCGAGTCAGGTCGGTCACTCATCTCTGTATTCAGCAGCCAGTGACTACAGCAGATTCTAAGCAGAGCCTTCTTGTCTTTGAACAAGAACACAGCAACCCACACAGTGTTTTTGAAACTGGAGTCCAATACAAAGTTTATCCTATAACAAGTTTTATTTGTACGTACTGTAGGCTCATAAAGCGATTTCACACAAAGGCTTCTTCATTTCCATTCTCATAGAAACTCCCTGAAGTAGAATGGCCACCTGCCATTATTCCTATTTCATATACAACTAGGTTGGTAACTAGCCTAATTTGAGTCAAGATGCCAACCCCTAAGCACAAGGCTTTTCCTTTTCCTCACAGCTTAAATTGCGGAGAAGACACTTCTGCCAACTTTCAGCATTCCCAGCTGAAAAGAAAGGTTATGACTGAGATCGCACTATGAAATGTGCTAGAGGCCTTAAGTCCGCCTGACCTGGGATAAAGTCCAAGCCCCTTCCAGTCCCCCACCAAGCCTCCTCTGCACTTTCAGCTTTCCATTTCTACAACTGGCCGAGTCTCTTCCCGCTTGGCAACGTTTGCACAAGTACCCCCCTTTCCCGGGAATACCATTTCCCTAGCTAACTTATGCATTCTTTAAGTCTCATCTTAAGTGTCACTTCTCTGGGGCGGCCTTTACCAACAGTCCCTCTACTCTCTAGCTTCCCAGGCTGGGCTTTATCATGCTCCCTCGCCTCACATCCTGTACTTCCTAGTAACCACAATGTTAGTTTGTCCTGATGTGCACATGTGTGTATTTGCTCTGTCTATCTAACTAGCCCAGGAGTGTCTGGCCGATAGAGGCCATCTGTATCCCTATCACCTAGCAGAGCATTGGGCCTAGTAAGCACCCGAGTCTATTGACAGGGTGGGACATAGCTCAGTTGACTGGTAAGAGTTGCGCCCAGCAAGCACAAAGCCTGGGCTTCAGCCCCAGCATGACATAAAAACAGGCAGAGTGGTGCACTCCTGTGACCCCAGCACTTGGGAAGTAGAGGCAGGAAGAGCAAAAGTGAGACATCAGCCTTGGGCTACTTACATAGTTTGAGTTCAGCCTGGGCTGCGCCAGACCCTGACATTCAGACACAGACAAGTAAATGAGAACACTTCTTCAGTCAGTAAAGCAGAGAAGGAGTCAGGTGGGCCTGATCTAAGCAATCGTTTTGGCTGAGTGACCTTGGCCTAGAAAGCTAACCCCTTGTCTTGGAATATGCTTTTGTGAAAGACAGATAACTAAATCTCATTTGGTTATGATTAACCCAAAATGCACGGAAAGCTTTCAGAACAATGTTTGGCACAAGAAAACCTACAGCAAGATTGAACTTTGAACAAATATTCTTCCTCAGCCAGATGTGGTAGCACAAGCTTGTAATCCTAGCTTGCAGACTCAGAGGCAGGGGCAGGAGAAGAAATGGAAGGCCAGCCTGGTCTACATAGTGAGCTCTTGGCCAGCCAATGCTAAACAGCAAGACTCTGTCTCAAAAAAAAAAAGGCAGGGCGGGATTAATGTTTGCCAGGCATAGGATTAAAAGTAAGCTATGTAAGATTAATGGTTAATAACTTTCTCTCTCCCTCCACCTGAAACAATGAAACCCCACACACAACTATGAGAATGAAGTATCAAAACTTCTGGTGCCGGAGAGATGGCTTAGTAGTGAGAACCCAGGAAGAGTTCCCGGTACCCACGCCAGGCATTTCACAACCACCTGTAACTCCAATTACAGGGGATCAGACACCTCTTCTGGCCTCCATGGGACATAAGGGCAAGCAAGCACATACACATAGAGAAAAATAAATTCAAGGAAAAAAAAAAAATCTAAACCCCCAAGAGCCTCTACCCCATAATTTACTTGAGGATACTGTTTCCTTTCATTAAAGTCTCTGGCAAGTCACTTTGTTTCCAATTCCAAAAGAATACCACAAACGTTTCATTCTTTACTGACTTCATGGATGCTATCCCTTTCTCTCTCTCTCTCTCTCCCGCTCTTCACTCCACTGGCTCTGTCACATCCTCCAAGTCACAGCTTTAAAGTCACCTACTTAAAGAAATCCGTTCTGTCCACACTCATGTTTCCTACACAATTCAACCATTTGGTCAGCAATTCGTGTTTCTCTTAAGCCTTAAGCTCCGGGAGGACCAGACCTTTTAAACTACTGTTTATCTCTAATAAGTACTTAGCTCAGTGCCTGACGGCGTAAATTCAGCACAAAAAGCAGAATCCCAGTAATCATGTGCCGAGTGAATAAATGACAGTCGTTATACTTAAGGAGCATTTTGCGTCGCATCCATCTGAATTCACTGTCTTTAAATGCCATGAGAGGAAACTTTCCTCCGATCTCCTCACACAGTGCTCTGCCCACGAGAAGAGCATTTTAGATGACCGCAAGGGCAGAACTTACCAGGCAGGGAACGTCTCCCTAGAGGGCAGTTCCCCTGTTGAGAAAGAAGACATTATCGACGTCACCCAAAATGAAAAGAGGGAAGAAACATTCTTTTTTTTTTTTTTTTTTAAGTGCACGTTTAACGTGCTGCTGACAGGT